ATATTTGATATTACTCCTGTATAATATTATTATTTATTTCCTTTTGTTGTTATGTATATACATGTATCATTATTATTTTATTTTTTACTTATTTTATTTATATGTTATATATATATATATATATATATATATATATATATATATATATATTACGTTATTTCTTAATATTTTTCTTTATATATTTTTTAGTTTACAAGCTAATATGTATGTATTTCCTTTTTTACCTTCTTTCCCTTCGTTTTGTTTATTTATTTTTATTTTCTTTATTCATTGATTCATTTTTCCTATTTTATTTATTTATTTATCTTATTCCATTGTCTTTATTTTTTTTATATATTCCTTTTATTTTCATAATCTCCATATCAACTGTGTTGTTTACTTTTCGTCCATATTTGTTAGTATTTATTTTTTTTTGTTTATCTCTTCTTTATTTCATTTTCTTTATTTTCAATTTATCTTCATCGTTTTTGTTTTTCTAACACTTTTCTTGATTATTTAAGGGTTCGTTTTCCAAACCTTAGAGGTGAGTAATTTGGATCGTCATTTTATCTTTTAATTTAACTTATAATTTTCTTAATCAAAGACAACTGGAAATTACGTAGTACCGAAAGGACAGTTCAAGGGTGCTAACCCTTCCTTGACTGTAACCGACTCCCGAATTCGACACATCTTTGGTAAGACGCAAATCAGGTAAGAAATAGGATGTCCGATCAACCCATTTGCTTTAAAATAAATGATCGGTGGCGACTCCTAATCCATTTTCCTAAGTCGAAGCCCAATTCTGGGGCCCAATCGAAAGACGGTTGCAACACTGACCCTAAGAGAAGAGGGAGTTAAGTGGTTGACCAACATCTTTACTATTATTTTAGAGACTACCAAGATGCTAGAGGAGTGGAGAGAGTCTACGGTGATACCAATCTATAAGAATAAAGGAGATCCCCAACGTTGTGGTAACTACAGAGGTATTAAACTACTCAGTCATACCATGAAGCTATGGGAAAGAGTGATAGAGGCAAGGTTGAGTCAGGTTACTAGGGTTTCGAAAAACTAATTTGGCTTTATGCCAGGCAGATCTACTACGGAGGCGATTCATCTCCTTCGGCGGCTTATGGAGAAATATAGGGAACAAATAGAGATCTTCACATGGCATTCATTGACCTTGAGAAGGCGTATAATAGCGTACCCCGCGATATAATCTGAAAGACCTTGGAAACGAGACGGGTCCCAACTGCTTATATTCGGGCGATTCGTGATATGTACTGTAGATCTACTACATACGTCAGGACTACAGTTGGCGACACCGAGACATTCCCGGTGGAAATCGGACTCCACCAGGGGTCGACTCTTAGCCCTTACATCTTCGCCTTGATTATGGACGACATCTATTGTGCGACACCAGATGGTGTTCCATGGTGTATGCTTTTCACTGACGACATTGTCCTAGTTGCTGAAACAAAAAAGGAGCTGAATAGTAGACTGACTACCTGGAAGACTGCTTTGGAAGAAAAAGGTCTAAGGATCAATATTGAAAAGACAGAGTATTTATGTTCAAACTACAGTGGGAACCAAAACGATGAAGATGTAGAAGTATGCATCGAAGGACACGTTCTCCCCTCAAAGGATTGTTTCAAGTACCTAGGGTCTATGATACATAAAGATGGGGGATGTAGATGATGACGTTTCTCACCGTATAAAGGCAGGATGGCTAAAGTGGAGGGCTGCTACTGGAGTTTTGTGTGATAAGAAGGTGCATCTAAAACTTAAGGGAAAATTTTATAGAATGGCAATAAGACCAGCTCTGTTGTATGGATCAGAATGTTGGGCAATCAAGAAAGATCACGTAAGGAGAATGGAGGCCGCAGAAATGAGAATGCTTCGATGGGCATGTGGTAGGACTCTGTGGGACATGACACCAAACTCGGCAATTAAGATGTCCTTGGGGGTGGTGTTTGTATCCGAAAAATTGAGGGAGGGAAGACTACGGTGGTTTGGGCATGTCCTTAGGCGACAACCGTCGGATGCGGTCAGGAGGGTAGAGTCGATTACAGTCGACAGTGCCAGAAGGAGAGGACGACCAAGGAGGAAGTGTGTAGACTGCTTGAGATCTGATTTGAAGGATTTAGCCCTTACCAAGGACATGACCTCAGATAGGAAAGTATGGAGACTTAAGACTAGGGTAGCCGAGCAGTGTGGGTCACAACCATAGGGTGTAGCATCTCTGTCTTCTTTTTTAATTGCCTTTGTAGTAATTTTCATGACCTCTACTTTTTATACGTTTCTGTCGTTGGAATTCATGAAGGCTTAGAACTAAGGTAGCGGAGTAGTGTTGCCTTAGTTTAGGCTTTAACCCATTTGACTTTATTCCTTCTCGTAGCTTACTATCGCTGACTTCTGTGTTTCCTTCTCTGCATATGAAGATTGTTCAACTATGTATTTATTTATTTATACATGCATTGTATTTTATCTTTATTTTTAATTTTCTGACTGCCGGAGGTCTTCCACAGAAGTTGCTCTCAACCTGACGTTGGGGGCAGCCTATTACCCTACCTCCCCTTACCCCATTGTATATGGGAATAAGGTTTTGTTGTTGTTGTTGTAAAACTTTAATAGAAAAATGAAAACTTACTATAACGTTAATGACAATTGGTGTAATTTACGTTTAAACGTATGGAATTCTCATGTTTTTTCAATTTGGTAGGAAACTTGTTCTATTTCCTCAAAATCCCATATTTTCCCCTTGTTTAATCTATGAATTTCTTTATTTTTCCTTCATTCGTCTCACACATCTGCATTACTCTCACCTTTCTATACATACGGACAACAGCCTCTCTCTCTTGGTCTTACCCATGTCATCGATCGCATTTAATAAATAAATAAATAAATCTTCGACGCCCTTTATCAATTTATCGTCACTCAATCGTTAATTGTTATGAATTTTTTGACAAAAACATGTTAAATAAAAAAAGTAAATTGAAAGAACGTATTTTATCAATTAATTGTTGCTTACCAGTTCCTCTTTTAAGTTTTAACCTACTTCTGCTTTATCACTTTTTAGAAATGTAGGTTAATTCACTCTATAAGCGACTGCTTCAAACTCTGGAGGACCTTCCATGGTTGTAGGGATCGACCGAGTGGTTAGGTTAAGTGTTCCAGTAAATATCAAATTATCATATATTTTATATTATTATCTCCGACAAGGTACAACATTCACTACGTTTTTTTTCCACATAAAATATTCATAGTATAAAACCAACAGCAGTCTCTGATTGTGGGAATGAGATGCAAGTGTGCTTAGTTTTCTGGAAGACTTATTCTGCTATGACGGCACCTGAACCTCCAGCTTTCATCATCTCCATGCGAGCCTTCTGCACTACCCAGTCTCAATGCATCAGCAATGAACGGATCAGATCCAATAATATTATTGATTTGTATTACTCTGATCTGAGTCATCAGCTTTCTTTTTTTAAAAAAAATATTAGTGTAGGACGCATATTCAAACATGAATTTAAGAATATAATCCTTATACTCTATTATATGTTTTCAAAAAACCATATCTAAATATAGTCGAATAATATGAATAGAAACTATCAGCAAAAAGATAAAATAGGATAAGATAATACGATTGCTTTATTTATTGTGGTGATCTCAGCTCTCTTATTGCAGTAACCCCAACATGGGCAGTAGGGTCAGTGTTGATCAAAACCGTGTTTTTTTTAATTGCTTGTGCTAGATCTTGTTGAACGAATTTAGTAGTAGAATAAAGTAACTTTTTTCTTTGAGAATTCAAATTAGCTGACCATATTCCTATATGTAATGGGGTGAGGGAGAGGTAGGATAGTAGCCTGCCTCCAGCACCAGGTTGAGAGCATCTTCCGTAGAAGACCTCCAGCAGTCAGAATTATGAATTGCCCACCTTGAGACACGATCCCACGACCACAAGGTTAAGAGTCTTGCGCTCTACCAACTGAGCTGGACAGACTTCAAATAATTATATCTGTAAAAATCTAAATGTTATCAACAAATTAAAAAAAAATTAAAGCAATATTATCTTATAATCACTTTTTATTATTTTAAAAAAATAATTGCTTCTGCTATGAATTTGTGATCTTTATCCAACAATACATAAAAAGAAACTTGTTTATATCATGCTTGTATATTCTTGCTCGTAGTTCCATCATCACACTTCTTGTCAAAAACGTTTTCTTGGAGCCAATTGTATCGCTTGTTGAAATTGTTGCTTTAAAAAGGTGCACACGACCACGATATCTTCTTTCATCTATTGTCTCTTTCATTATTTTTATTAATATTTGTTGCAATTTAATTCTTCTTATTTCTTTAACCTTTTGTTTCAGTTTCAAGAAAAATACTTCTTCAATTTTGACAAAGGGATTCGTCCAAGTTTGATCCTATTTTTTCACTCTCTTATTTCTTGTTGCTTTTCTTTCTAATCTTGTTCAATTTTTTGTTGTTCAGGTTTCCTTCAATATTAAAACTAAAATCATACAAAATCCAAGTCTTAGAAGGGAGTGTTAGTCTCACACATCACCAGGGCAAAAATACTTGATTTTCCATCACTATTCTAACCAAGACAACAAGATTTATGGGTTAAAATTGATGTACTAATGTAGGCAAAAAAAAAAAGGTACTGATATGAAAAAAGTAGACAAATTCATATATCAATGTGAACAAAAAAAAATCAGATACAAATGTGAGAAAGATGAACAAGTTTAAGGGTTAAAACGTGACTTATCCCTTAAATGAAAACATTAGATATCGTTTTAGCTAAACAAAAACCTGACGTAAAGTCCAGGGATATTTCATTATATGTCAAGCAAGAATCCTTAAAATAACAAAATCAGATAGTAGTAACAATATGGCTAAACACATCAGACAACAACATCCAAAAACTAGTTTCCAAAAAGAAAGGTTTTGCAACAACTAGGAAACACTGTTGCGAGGCATTGGCTCTATGATCGTCACAAGCTTTACCTTTGCCTTGCCTTCCTTTTAGCTCTCACTTCTTCTTCGCAGCTTCACTGGCCTTGGTCTATTTGAAGCAAGCAAATACAGTTCGATTATCAGCTCAGCCGGTTATTAAAAATGGACAGCAGTTCAAGCGAACTAGGTAAAAATCAGTTAAACTTACCTTCTTTACTCCACGGATCTTCTTAGCCCTGTTCTTTCTTTCTTTCATTTGTTTCCTCGATTTCTCTACTTTGGTATCAAGTCCGTTCTGGAAAGGCAAGGCAAAAATTAAGTGTCTTGCATTATACATCACCCGTTCAAAGAGAGGCCAAATCAAATGCAACTCACAACTACAAATAAGACAGAAGGTATGCACAGAGGAACTCATGGGCAATTACCCTAATCAGCCTGTACTTGGGTTCATACTTCTTCGCATTCTCGACGGAATCATAAATCAAACCAAACCCAGTAGATTTTCCACCTCCAAAATGAGTCCTAAACTTGAACACAAAGATTGAATTGGGGTCCTTCACCTCATACATTCTAGAAAGCTTCTCCTTCAACTCTGCCTAATGTTAACAAATCAACAATAAAAAACCACTCAATACAATCGATCAAAATATACAAGCAGTTGGAAGACAACGACATTATCGGAAAACATTATATAGGATTACCTTGGAAACGTTGGGTCTACCAGGGTGCAAAACATCAATGATCTACAAAAAGGTAAAAGAAAAGGGGGACCGGGTTAACAATAAACTCAAACAAATACAAGTCATTCTGGAAATTCTCAGTTTTCCCCCAAAAGAATAACATATTTTACGGTAATCATACTTCCTAAGCAAAGAAGTGTATCATATTCAAATCAACATTAAAGCAAACTTCTAAATTAAGCATCTTATTAACAATGTAATAAACCACCACGATTTGCTCTCTTTTTTGTTTGTAATTTCCTCATTTAAGCAGATCTAAAACATGTATTAATTAATCAAAAAAATAAATAAAACCGGTACTAAATCCTACACGAAGAAATTAATAGGGAAAACAAAATTACAGATCTAAATAAGAACTAAGACTAAAATTTAAATTGAGCCATGTTTGGTTGCGGAGAGAAACGAAAAAGGTACTCACAAATTGTTTCCTGGAAAGAAGCCTGTTGGTCATGAACTTCCTCGTCCTAATAGTCACTGCCTTATCCGCCATTGCAGAGCAAAATTCGTTTTTCAGCTGGGAGCAGCTCTGCAAGATTCCAAACTGCAGCAGCAACTAAAGCAGGAAGGGTAAAATGGGGAGAATTTATACCACTGATAATTAGGGTTTTCTTATCTTTTGGGCTAAACGAACTTTTATGAGTATCGGGTCTTCAATTGGGCTAACCATTTTAGAATTTGATTATTTTAAGCCTGCTATATAGTGCCTGGCTTTTTTTCCGGGTGAGTATTCAATCGAGTTGAGTCGAAATGTTTTGAGTTATTCGAGCTGATGATTACTATTTTAGAACTTAAATTTTATTTTGAAAATTTTTGAGTCTGAGATGTTTGAGTTTTTGTTTAAATTTAGTTGTAAATGTTTATAATATTATGATATAAATTGATTTTAATTTAAACGATTTTCTATAACCATATACGATATACATATATAAATTTCTTCATATTTTTTCATATACGATATATACATATCATAGAATTGAGGGGTTTGACTCGAAATTAAAAATCAATCCAGTGATTAATAAAAATTTCAAGTTATTCAAGTCCTATTCCATAACTCGATTCGGATTTGAAATATTTTCGAGTTGTACCGATTTTATAAAATTACGAGTCGAGTCAATTCTATTCAAACATTTTACTTTCGTGTCCAATCAAAAATTTTGATTTTTTTCGAATCAATTCGAATTAAAAAATTTCCCCATAGCACTAAATATAGTCCTATCACTATCAATATAGACCCTATCACAAATAAGGAGAGAGAAAATTACTACTTGCTGCCGGTGAATTTATGCGATAATATCAAGGTTCACGTGTTTTTATAAATGCAGGTGTTCAGATTCGGATCATAGAATTTATAAAATAATATAATCTTTAATCGATAATGTTTGATCAATTGAACTAAATCCTGTGTTCGGTTTCACCTTGATCACCAATAATTGCTATAATTTTAGATGGTGAGGGTGATTTGAAGACTGAAAATCCAACAGATAACTAATGCACTCCCCTTCCAAATAACAACATTTGTCCAAAATCAAGATAACCGGACCCGAAGTTGAGTTATTCGAGATGTTTTTCGTGTTCGTCTTGGCTCGGAATGGCTGTTAGTAAGAAAGAAACACAAACAAATATGGTGCAAGCAAGTGCAACAACACTGTGATAACTTAGCATGTAAATGCATCATCATCCTAACTAGCCATATCCTCAAATTCATGATTTGTTCTCCAGTCAACAAGTTAGCTTTACCAGTTGAAGCTCCTGATTCCTCAGAAGACCAACGGTTATGGAATGTGCATGCTCCGGCGCAACCATCCTGAGTACTAATATATTTCTCTAGGAATTGGAAGCCTCACCAAGCAGTTGTGTAACTTAAGGTAGCTTATATTGTGCTTCAACAAGGAGACAACTCAGCTACCATCCTCTTTTTTAACCTTTTTTTTTTTAATTTTTTACAGGACTGAGAAGGGTTTATGATGCCATCAAGAAAGATGGACAAGCCTTTGCAGATTTGAATCAGGGAGAAGCCCACTCGAAGTAGTGGCAGTGGACACCTCGAGTGACAATCCAGTTCCCGAGCCAAAGAACACATTCCCTTGCTTCGGCGCGGGTTTTCAAATCATTCCTTTGCTACTCTTCACCCCACAGAAACAGTAGGGATGGTAATGGAATAGGGGCATTTGCTGATCCTTAGGCTTATGTTGTTGATTTGGAGAGAAGGCCATGTTCATGGGGATCGAGTTCCATGTCAATGAACCATCACTAGCCTGCCACATCAACGAGTTTGTGATAGTGAATCTAAAACCCTTGTGCATCAAAAGGGCAAGTAAGCGAGCTGTATTTTTGGCATCATCGAGGCCGCAATGGCCACGGCCCTGCCAGTCCAGGCCAGCCATCTCAACTGCCTTTTTCAGGTTACACCTAACATTGCCGAAAACTCACAGAAAGGAACTTTTAAGTTGATCCACCTGCCAAAAGGAAAATATGAAATGAAAAATAATATTAGTGATACAAATAGCTATCATAACAAAAGTATCAACAGTACAACTTGATCTGTTAAAAGAAAAAACAGGGCCAAAAAGCACATATCAAAATTATTTACCGGTTGAAGTAGGGAGGCTTCCGTATCTTCTTGAATCGACACTCGGATTCCAGCATTACCCGACAATCCCAATTCGACCATGTCATCACAGCGAAGTTGGTGTTTTTTATGCCATTCTTCTCTAGCCATTTATCGTGCCTGAGGAGAGCCTCACTCAGAATAACACCTCTATCTATCTAGATAACAAAGGCATATTTAGGACATATGACTCACAAGTCACAGTGTACGAGAGAGCAAGAAACCACAGTCAAACATCAATGCAGTTAATAATCACAATCAGACAAGTCTCGCGACAGAGCAATCCTTAAAGTTGGACCCTTATTTATCTTATATTACCTCGCTTGATTGAATTCCTATCTTACCACCCCTAGAAAAAAGGAATTGTGAACTGACCTGAATTTGCTGGATGCCAGTCAGATCCTTGCAGAAATCACTAAGGTGCTGATTGCAAGTTGGTCGTATGTAAGTCTGAAAACATGCTTCCAACTGGCCAGTAACACTGCTCACAATGACAGAAAATTATCTCCTGTGGATGGGGATTACTCTCCTTGTCACAAGTAGCCTCAAAGTCTATGACCACAAAGTATTGAAAATCTTGGAACTGAAACTCAAAAGGGTATCCTTGAGTGATCACATTGAATGGAGCATAACGAAATCGATTATCCATGGGAAAGTGGTAGAATTGGCTACCAAAAACATTCAATGGGTATGGCTGCAACTTATGAGTGTCAGGATAAAAGGGCGATCATGAGCCATACTCGTGTGGGAAAGTAGGTTTGTGGTAAAACTCATTTGGAAGTTCCATAAACTCTCCACTCGATGAGCAAACTGGTTCTATAATATACCCACCTGGGTGAGTACCGGTTTCATCTTTAAGCTCTGGGAGGCCTTCAATTGAGTTCCCAGGACATGGCATATTGTATGGGAACCCCTTCGTCTGGAAGCATTTTAAGACTGGCTCACAGTCTTGCGTAGTTTCTACACAAAATAAATAACCAAAAATATGTTAGTCCAAAAACAGATTTGAAGTATGCAAAACCAATAAGACCCGTACTAATTACTACAAGTCAAAGAACAAACAAGCTGACGGAAACTGTTGAAAACGGAACAAAGTAAAAAACACACATAAAGGAAAATTGTAACACTGAATAACAAAAAGCTCAAGATATGTTATGATGCAAGTGCAGTACTATTGTTTTTTTTTTTGATAGGAATGTAAGGCCTCGTTAAAAACCCCCCTTCTTGATTAAGGAGCTTGATAATAAGCTCCTTAATCAGCGAAAAGAGGAAAAGAATGCCTTGAATTTTATTAATAACGGAAAAATTACATAAGATACAACCATTACACCAATAACAGTACATAAATCTTAAAAACATCCCACAAGTATAAGAAAGGAAAATTCGTGTATGTGGTTCCTTTAAGAAATAGTAACGAGCAACAACCAATGGCAGTAAGCCAGCAACAGGTATGGAGCTCAGTGCCAACACAGACAAAGAAAACAAAGGAACTTGTAAGTTGTAACACATCTTAAAAGGCTTTAACTCACCAGCATACTTCACATAAGAATAACATATATTTGATCAGAAAATAAGCATATCATGCATCACTGCCTTCGGCTATGTCCCTTCACCTTGCACTTCTGTAGTGGAGCCCCAACAGATATAGGCACACACAAGAAAATGGCAGGCTAAATCAGGTTAAAGAAATGAAACTTCTAAAAGTCCAGACTCTTAAAGGATACACTGACTTGGAATTTATTCCTGCATCAAACTTTTAATTTGAAGGTGCAAAGCCAATATCCCTGCAACGCCCTCCATCCATGTCCACAGGCTGAAATTCAAGTGGCTTATTCTTAACCAAAAACATCAATAGAGTGCCTTCTTAGATGCTAAAAGATCTCCAAAAGCCTGAAATTCATGTGCTATTCCTTTTTCAAAAACATCAAGGAAGTTCTTCTCTAAGTAGAAGACTATTTTTATGCATCTACAAGCCAATTTTTTACAAAGAGCATCAAAATAAGTGCCTTCTAAAATGCTAAAAGATTATTTCTGAATCGAAACCATTAAGGCTCGTTGCAATAAAGAACGAGTGACTTCACCTAGGTGAATGAGCATGACTATGAGATCATTCAAAAACAGAAGGTAGCAAAAAATAATCTACAAGGCTAAAGATATTATAAAATATCTAGCACTAGAAATAATCCTACAATCTACCTAAAACTTCTCCACATGATCACTACTCGGTTCAACAGAATATGGAAAAACAAAATTTACATATCAATTACTCCAACAATAAATAACAGGTTCGATTTAATCTATAGTACTAAGTCAAGTCTCCAAATTAAATTTGCACAAAATAATAAATAACATTCCAATTTCTTAGCATTGCCTATTCAATGGCACAAAAAAATAATCAAAAAGCCCTTAAGACATGTCTCTCACGTATCACCATAAATTCAAATTAAATTATTCGAAACAAAAATTCTTATAAAGTAACCCTGAAAAAAGATCCTAAAACAAAAGTGATCTCAACTCCGAGTAAACAAAGCAATAAAAAAGGAATATATTTTAAGAAAAACTACAGAAATCCATCAAATACAGCGTCTAAAGAAAATACCAAAAAAATCACTCAAATAAACAGAAACGTATAACTCAAAGAAGATCAAAGTTCAATACTATAACCCAGAAGAAAAGAAACAAACCATTATTTTCAAGAGCCATTATGATATTGTCTGTAATTAAGATCCACCAGTATGTACATCAGATCTTCCTCTTGTTTCCCTCACCTGGAAAAACATACACTACATAAATAATAGAACCAAATATATATATTGAAAAAAAAGGTAGACAATACGATGACCTGGTGTGAACCGTGTGATGCTAGAGAGAGCAGGGAGAGAATTACCGAGGGGAAATTTATAACTAGAATTTTGTCCCTTCCAAGGCCGGATATTGTTACATTATCCTTTTAAAAATTTACAGTATCATTATAGCTTTATCATGAAAAATCTCAAAAATTTAAATGATAGAGTAAAATACACAAATGGTCCCTCTCACTATAAGACACTACTTTGGTGAATCTTCAACTATTAAAAGTTACAAAATGATACTCAATTATTCATATGTTCTAAACTCGTCATTTTCTGTTAAAAAAATTAACGGTTGTATGAACTAGACTTTAACATATTGGCCGAAATATGATAAAATTTGATCACAGAACCGTTTGAATTATATTTTGTAGATCGACTTTCCGTTTAGACTATATCGTCGAGCTAGTGCGTGAAAACAATGACGGTACCAATTGACACAATTAAAAAATGAATTCATTATATCCCAATTAACAAATTAATATTTAACTCAAATAACCGTCAAGTTTTTAATGAAAAAGAACAAGTTTGAAACATATGAATAGTCGGGTGACAATTTTATAACTTTTAATAGTAGGAGACTTAACAAAATAACATCCTATAATCAAGAGATGATTTTGTAACTTTTAATAGTCGAAATACTCAACAAAACAACACCTTATAATCGGAGTTTGATAACAAACATGTCGTTTTTTCCCTAAAAGTTGCAGATATATCAGTCATTTAAATTTTATTGCAAACAAGTCACTTTGTCCTTAAATTTGTATCGAATGTCTAATATAATATTGTATAATAACAAATTTAGTTCCCAAAACTGATATTCTATTAATTTTTGTCTAAATTTAAAACAATTCAATAAAATTAATCTTTCAAATTTAAGAAATCTATTAATTTGAAGAAAGACAGATATATGTTGGTTTTGCCTCCCAGAATTTCACTTCAAAAATACTGGTAAATCTGGTCTTACAAAGGCAGCTAATGATCATAAGATTGATCGTGAAAAATATAACTACATAATTTCAGTTTGGAGAAACTGCTCATTTCACGACATGCAACACAAGAAAAGACAAACACATTACATACAAAATACACAAGATGGCAAGGATCACTAGACTAGTTGCCAGTGTTAGCGGGCGAGCTGTCTGGTGTCGTGATTTTCCCAGCAGAGCAGACAGGAGATTTTCACTCTCTCGGTCGTGCGAGCCAGAGGGAACTAAGAGCTCGTAATCTGGAGAAGTGATCATGTATCGCAAGAAGTGCACGAGCCGACTGTCTGGTTGTCAATATCCGGTGCATTCGTTGCAGGGTTTGCTGCCGCAGATTGTCTGCCTGGTAGTATTAACTTATTAGCTTTTCCATGGAAAGCTGAGAGTGACTCGACTTCTCATTTCGAAAGGGAAAGGATTACCTGACAAATGAAACCCTCAAGGGTTCCTAGCTTGCCCATGGCCATGGCCATTTGACCCATGTAGTTTGCCACATTCCCGGATGACCCGGACGAGCCTAAAGACCCTGTGGACAATGTCTCCGCCAGAGACTGCTGCAATGCCTCCATACCTTGAGATAGTGCATCTTCAGCCTGCTGGGAGGATTGCTGTAAGTTGCCAATTCCCACCAACTGTTGCTCTGTCAAAGGCTCCAATCGGTTTACAAGAAGCTACAAGCATAACCATTCAACTCTAAGATGACAAATTATGAACAAAAAAGAACAAAAATATAAGGAATCCTATCAACCTTAACTCCCAGTATGTTTAGGACTGCATTCTTAAAAAAGTTAGCCATTCCAATTAGTTGTCCCTAAATCCTCATACGGCCTCACCTTTAGAAGCTCGGATGACCGGAAGCCACCAAGCCACAAGAAACACCTCTCAGCAGGTGTCTTCCACATGCCTGACAGCAAATGAAAAACATCTGCCTTAGCTATGTTGCTCTTCAGCCTGAAAATTTCATCATAGTGTGCCATAACACCGTCAACGATAATACGAAGTTCTGCATCGCCTGCATGAGAATTTACTGCCGTTCTCAACTCATTAATTTGTCGATTCTTCTCTTCAAGCCACCGTGAATATTCTACATCAAATGTCATGGCACCTGAAAAGGAAAAAAAAATGACGAAAACTATTAGAGAAACTCGTATATACATGATTAAATTGGAATTATAATTCTGCATGCCAGTGAACAAAATAGAAAATCAAGAAACTCCACGATCACACTACAGTGAACACAATGTCATTGGAATTATAATTCTGTTGCTTCAATAATAAATCAACTCGTACCACAATCACTACAAAAGAAAGTTTTGGTACCAAGAACATGCTTCAGAAAAAAAATTATTACCATTTCCACCAATTGAATGACTTTGATCTCCTGTGCTCGATATGAAGATACCCTGCAGGGAATGGCAAAATTGTAAGTAATACGTACTTGAGTTGGGAATGCAGTTCATGTAGTGATGAAGGAACAAGTCTAACCTGCTGCCGTGCCCGCTGGAGTTCCTGCTCTAGTTGTGTCAACTTCAAACGACTACTCTCCAGCTGTTGCACGTACGCCTGAGAATGAAAAAAGAATGATGTGCTTCAATACAGGATATCAAAATATTCACGCAAAACAAAACATTCCAGGTGAGCTCAAACACGAAGATATTCATGCAAAATTGTCTTATGCAGCGAAACCATCAACATCAACCATTTCAATGAATGTGAATGAGAGGATTTCAAAGACTGAATCTCAAAACAATAAGCAAAGTTTCAAATCACGAGAATTTGAGAGCATAAAGTATCCAATGGTACATAGTGACAAAAAATTGAAGCAATCATGAGGATGTGAAACCATAAAGTATGTAATAGTTGATAGCCATCTCTTCACTACTTTTTAATCGAGTGTCACAAAATGGGAGCATGAATGATTATAACAAAAGAGTGTGAAAATGGCACACTCATAGTCAAAATGGTGTACCCTAGCTAGTTATCAAGATGAAAGCAAGAACGTACACATCCGTAGATCATTAGAAATTTATATAGAACAACTAGAAATTCCAAAGCAGGCGGTAAGGAGAAAACACTTGGGACTCTACTATAGTCACATTTTTCAGCCACTATAAAGGCAACAGGAATTCTGCTATAAACACTTGAACTCATGAATCTACCAAAAGAGTCCTAGGAAGTTTCAAGCTCAAAAAATGAAAAGTAAAAAATAAAAGGAAATAATATAAGATGACCTCCAAAAAGTAGTTGAATAAAAGCATTAAATTTAAAGGAGAACAACATACTTTCTTCCTCAATCGGCTTTTTCTTGCAGCCTCGCGATTTTGAGCAAGTCTGCGAAGAATCTGTAGAATATTATCAACCAAAGATCACTCAATATTACCAATTTAATGCTCAGCTATTATCCATGCAAATAATTTCAAAAGCATCTGACCTTTTGGTCCAAATTACTCTTGGATCGGTCACTAGAATCAGAAGGTGCAACAACAATTGATTTTCCACTATCAAACTGCACAGAAGCAATAAACTTTGAGACTGGTAACAACATGGACAAAACTAAGTCTTTTCTCAGCAAGTAGAATAACAACAATTACAACAAACAATACTTGTCCCACTACATGATCCATCAATACAATCACAAAAACGTGCTCTACCTGGGAACATATTTAAATAAAGATCAATAAATGCAAGGTTCATTTCTAGAGCTTCCCCCATATCTTGTTAGGTGTTCCCGCTTCCTTTGACTTAGGCATATTGCAGTAAATCACATCTTACCCTAGCATATTCCAACATTTATAATAGCATGCATTTCAATAGTGCAACTGTTAAATGCTTGCCTAAATCTAAAGAAGAGCATCAAGTAAAGACAACCATCTAAAAGGTCCTAAAATTTATTAAATTAGAGTATTGAGATAAGGAGAGAAAATATGAAAAAACTATACCCTCTGATTCATTTCATCTGTTTCTGCATCTGTTGAGATATCAGTCCTTGGACTAGCATCTGCCATATTGGATTCTCCCCAGTTTTCTGTATTACCACTAGATATGGCAACTAGATTATTTTGTTGACTTCTTCCCAAGTGCAATCTCTGAAATTCAACATGGGTGGCAGATGGATTTATAATAAACGAAGTTGTAGTCTGTTTCAGGAAACAAGGAGAGTATAAATAACCAAGCATTACAAAAAAAAAAGTACTCACTCGTTAAATTATAAGAGAAATAGAGTCCACCCTATATGAAGTGCTGATATGGTTGCGAACAGAAGGAAATGGTTGACCACTTGCTTTTTTCAAATTAAACACAATGTCTGCACTACCAAATTAAATACAGAATGGCTTAGTACCTACAGTGCAAATTTGAACCTGACACCAATGCCATGTGATGAAAGTCGCTGACAAGTGAGCTTTCTGGAAAGGATTTCTAGGCTCCTTCGCTCCCTATGAGCTCAAAAATGAATGTATCCAAGAAAAGAACACGACTTCAGAGATACCAAAGTCTTAAAAACCAAATCAAATGATCAGTTGCAGGTCCTGTTTATATTAGTCTTATTTTGGTATTTCAATCACCTGTGGTACTAATCAGTCTGCTCCAGCTTCTCAGATGAAAAAAAAAATCAATTGTAAAGACACTAAAGAGTCATTCCCTTGTACAAAAATGGCACTATCATGCCCTAAACAACACTTAATCAAAAAAACCTTCCCCTAAATCAAATACTTCATCGAACTCAAATTTTAGCAGCCCAATTTTTCAAAATATTTATAAAAAGGAAGTGCAAAGGGGCCAAATTTGAATGTTTGCAGCAACCTAAAACTACATAGAAACCAAATCAATCAAAACCCAAATTAGAGAACCCCTTAATGACCCAAATTGAACTACCAAATAAAAATCACACGACTTTAACACAAAATCATCCACACCCAGAAACCAAAAATCTATATCAGAACATCAAAATGGCAAATGAAGTAATCTTTCAACTCCCAAGCTCACAAGAAAATACATCAAAATTTTCAACTCGGTTACCTACCACTTTTTCCCCCAGCTAAAGCAGTGAAAATTAGTCAACTTTGATAAAAAAAAAATTGAAAATGATGACTTTTAAGACAGCAAAGTTTGAAGCTTGGGATTGGAGCAGAAAGCTCACCTGGTGAAAATTTGAGGAAGACGATGAATATGGGTTTTTTGAAACTTTTATTAGTATTGCTTTGGATAATGATATTCCAATCTCTAGACGTCCTCTTCTGTGAGAGAAATCGTTCCACTCCCCGAGAGCCAATGACTCTTTAATTGCCTTTTCAGTTACTGGTATTTTTGTTAGTGGGTCACTTTGACTTTTTTTTTCCTTCTAGTTTTCTTTCTTTTTCGTGGGTTTCTTTCTTTTATTCAATATAAAAACAGCATTCGAAGATACTAAACATATCAAAATTTTAAAAAACGATATGCTATTAGAATAATAGTCTTTATACAATAATATTTATATTATCTAAAGTCATCATTATACAATCATAATACTTACAATTATAACACTAATAATTATGTATGACCTAAAACGTAATCTTAATTATTATTTAAATCTCTAACAGTAATAAGAAGAGTTAAATGTTTGCTCAACTGTTCTGTAAGAAACTAGCTTTGGATGTCTGTCTTTGGGCTGTTAAATTTTTAATTTAAATGAGAATTTGATCTCATAGTTACCAAAAACTTTTGTTGTAGCAGAGTCCTCAAAGTTCAAACTGCCATTTAATAACTGTACGGTCGGAACCCGCGGATTAAAATTGAAAAGAAGAAGCAGCCGGTAATTTTTTTATTAATTTTATTAAAATAATAATAATAAAATCGATAACGTTTTCGTATATTAAAAATATCACAAGTGAAAATTTATGAAGAAGCAACAATTAGAAAGTGTGTCGCTTTCTCTCCAGAATGTCTAATTGTCGATTCCATTTCAGTCAACGTGAATAATTACTCAGGATGACGTCGTGCGTATATCAGCGTGATGTAATCTGATGACAATTTTATGATCAACGGCTCTCCGCAAGCCACGTTTCAAGTTTAACCCTCGGGCTCCTTTTTACTCATTAGGAAGTCTATACCCAACTTGCGGATGGACTTGGTGATTCTCTATTCACGTGACATTTGTTAATTTTTATATGTTGTCATTTTATTTAGATTTAATTGAGTTCTTTATTTTTCTAATTCTATTAAAAATTAAATGGTAAATTTAGTAATTAAACTATTAGTTTTAATCTGTTTTAGTATTTAAATTTTTAATTTTTTTAAAATTATATCTAATATTTAGTTTTTATTTCATTTTAGTACTCGTTATTTAAAACTTAACGTGTTTAATACATAACTATTTAGTACCTAACCTTTCTTCTTTTTTTTTCAGAACTTAAGTATAGTTTAGGTACTAAACGTGTTTTAATACATAAACTTTCAATTTTTTCAACACTTAGGTTTTTGTACTAAAAATAAAACAAAAACTAAGCATTAGGTATGATTTTGAAAAAATTGAAAGTTTAGATACTGAAACAGATCAAAACTAATATTTTAGGTACTAAATGCGTAGTTTACCCAAAATTAGTCATCATTTTTTAATTATAAATTAATTGGAATTTTATTTAAAAATTAATGATCTATTGAATCATTTTCATTGTAATTTTCCTTAATCACATTAATTAAACGATGTTAAATGTTGATATAGCAATTGATTGGTTGGCATCTATTTCTTGAAATTTTAAAAAAATCTTTAAAATACTGAAATATTATAAGCAATTTTAAATTATAAATAATTTTAATAATTACAAAATATTAGAAAATTTTTAAAAACTTGTAAAAACTTAATTCAATTAATTTTATTTAGTTAAAAACATAAAATATTGTTTTTTTAGATAAGAATAAATAATTTAACAATTTAATTTTTGTGATGTATTAACTTGATGGATATGAATTTCGGCAAGGTGGAACTCGAAAGGGCCACGATATTGATCCCTGCAGTACAGAATGTCGAACCTTATTGGTATTTTGGCCCAATGAAAGATATTTCAAACCTTGTATTTTGGGGGGGGTGTCAATGGAAAAACAATATAACCAAGTCATACTTGCTAAAACAATGCCACAGGCGTTGCTAATTTAAAACTCTCTTCTTTTCATCCATCTTTTATTTTGAAATAGATCGAATTAACCTCATTGGAGTTGGATTATTTTGAGTTTAATTTAGATATAATTTAAATTGAACTAAATTTTATTAAAGTATATGATAAGTCAGATTGAATCAATATTAAACCTTAAAAAAACGTAAAATATTAAAAAGGAAAGAGAAAAATAAGGGGTACATGCCTAATTTGACAATGACAAGAGGTAAATGAAATATTCAAAAATGAATATTTTTATTTTGAGATACCGACCAGACAATTATGAACGTAACCAATTAAAGCACATCTCAAATCTCATGGAATGGAAGTTCATGTACCCAACTACCCATGTTTAAAAATAACACACATGGGGATTTGAAAGTGAGAGAGGAAATCCTCTTTGGACTTCTAAACCCATCATATCAAATCAAAGACGTGATACAGTTCCAATTCATTTCACGAATGCAGTTTTTTTAAACTTTATAATATATAATCATAATTGTAAATATCACAATAATTAATAAGAACATTGACTTCTTTGGAAGATTAATGTTAATCAAGCTCCAAACTATGACAATAAAAAATAACATGTGTAGTAACATATTTAAAAATATCTTTTAGGGTAAATATATATAATAATAATATTTTTTATGAGATGTACACAAATAAAATTTTAAGAATAACACTATTAATAAAATAGATAATTAACATAAATAAATTCAGATTTTAAAGTAAATAATTCTAAACAACACATATATCTACTAGTTTTTGTGGAGTCTCATTTTGTGATGGAATGGTATGTCAAAAGTCAGTTTTGGTGGCTTAAAAAATCATATTTTTCAGTGCAATAAATGCACCGAATAGGGTAGACAAAAGCAGTCGTAAAGTGTTGAATTATTTGGCATAGGATAATTCACATTTAGTCCCTAAATTTTAGGATATTTATAAGATTAATCCTTAAGCTTCAACTATAAATACCCTAGCTCATTTAGCTTCAAAATCATCCCAAATCATTCTAGCTTTCTCCCAATAGTAGAGAATTTAGAGAGTATTTTGAGAGTTGTTTTCTCCTTTTTTATCAAGAGAGAATTATCATTGTTTTCTCCTTGGTAGATCGAGAGAAGTTGTAATTCTTATTTTCTCATAATGAAATTCTTCTACCGTTGCCCGTGGTTTTTACCCTATATTATTTAAGGGGTTTCCACAAAATTTGTGTCTCTTTTATCTTCATTTTTATTTTCTCAAATTATTAGCTACGATTTTGCTCTATCTGATAGCCGTCTTTTCGCAACAATTGGTATCCGAGCCAGATTTGAGTGTGTAATATCTACTTATTGTCTTTGTGGTTGCCACCAAAAGGTGGATCCTCCATCATAAGAAAGTAAGAAGTTATTACTCATTATTTGAAGGTTCCAGATAACTATTCACGATAGTGAAATAGTGGGAGCTATCCGTAATAGAAGCTATGGCAACAAAATTTGATAATGAAAAATTCAATGGGAGAAATTTCTCATTGTGGAAATTGAAGATGAAGGTCATTCTGAGGAAAGACGGTTGTCTAGCAGCTATTAGTGAAAGGCCAGTAGATTTCACAGATGATAACAAATGGATCGAAATGGACGGGAATGATATGGCAAACTTTCATCTAGCATTAGCAGATGAAGTATTGTCAAGCATCGAGGAGAAGAATACAGCTAAGGAGATATGAGATCATCTCACCAAATTGTACGAGGCCACATCGTTGAACAATATAATTTTCCTTAAGAGGAAATTGTACACTCTCCGGATGTCGGAATCTACTTCAATGATGGAGCACTTAAACACGCTGAACACTTTATTTTCTCAGCTTACATCCTTAAGATGTACAAAAGAAGAACAAGAACGTGCTAAACTTCTACTTCAAAGTCTATCTGATTCGTATGGTCAACTCATCATCAACTTGACAAACAGTAATGTCACCAGTCTAGTCTTCGATGACGTTGCAGTTGATGTTCTACAAGAAGAAAATCGGCGCAAGAATAAGGAAGACATACAAGTAAATCTGCAACAAGCAGAAGTGTTGACAACGATGAGAGGGAGATCAACGGAACGTGGCCAAAGCAGTAATCACAAACATGGTAGATCAAAGTCGAGAAGCAAGAAGAATTTAAAGTGTTATAACTGTGGAAAGAAGAGTTATTTGAAGAAGGGTTGTTGGAGTCTAAATAAAAACTCCAATCCACAAGGCAATATCGCAAACACTTCAGATGATGGAGATGCTCTATGTTGTGAAGCGTCAACCACCATGGAAAGTAGAAAAAGATTTACAGATATATGACTCATTGATTCGGGAGCAATATATCACATGACCTCAAGAAGAGAATGGTTCCATCATTATGAACCTGTCTCAAGAGGATCTGTGTATAGTTGCAATGATCATGCCTTAGAGATCATTGGCGTGGGAACCATCAAATTGAAGATGTATGATGGAACAATTAAAGTTGTTCGAGATGTGCGACACGTGAAAGGCCTGAAGAAAATTTATTATCCTATGGATTGTTGGATAATAATGCAAGCAAGATTGAAACACGGAAAGGAATCATGAAGGTGTTCCGTGGAGCGCTTGTGGTGCTGAAAGGCGAAAAGATAGCAGCAAACTTGTACATGCTGAAGGGAGAGAGTTTGCTAAAAGCAGAAGCCTCTGCTGCCTCATGTAGTTCAGATTCTGCAATGCTATGGCATCAGAAACTTGGACACATGTCATAACAATGAATGAAAGTCCTTGTGGAGCAAAAGCTACTTCCAGGTTTAACAAAGGTATCACTTACATTGTGTGAGCATTGCATAACAAGTAAGCAACACCGGTTGAAATTCAACACATCAAATTCTAGAGGCAAAAGTGTTCTAGAATTGGTTCACTCTAACGTATGGCAAGCACCAGTTACATCCCTAGGCGGAGCAAAATACTTTATCTCATTTATTGATGACTACTCCAGGAGATGTTGGGTGTACTGTATTAAGAAGAAGTCAGATGTGTTTTCAACTTTCAAAAACTTCAAAGCGTGGGTGGAACTTGATTCTGGAAATAAGATCAAGTGTTTCAGAACAAATAATGGATGAGAATACACAAGTGAAGAATTTGATGACTTTTACAGGAAAGAATGCATCAAAAGACAGTTCACAGTGGCAAACACTCCTCAACA